GGGAGAAGCGGCCTCCTGTGGAAGGGGCTCCGGGGCCTGCCGTTGCAGATGCTCAGGGCACTGCGGGAGAAGATGGAGGAGCTACTTATAGTCCTGTGGCACCGCTCGCAGTTCTGCCGGTAGCCCCCGTACCGGCAAGCGGAGTAGCTGGTGCAGCCGGAGAGCCGGACCGCCTCCGAGTAGCTGGGCACCAGCTGCTGGTTGGATCGGATGTGCCACTCCAGCTCGGTGCTGTCCACCGTGTTGACGCGGGGCATCCTCCGGCAGAAGGAGCGCTCCTCAGCTGGCGTCACCGCCACGTAGTCAAACCCAAAGAGTTTCTCCACATGGTAATGGACGTAGGAGGTGCGGTACTCGTTTAGCACCCGCAGGGGCCAGGATAGGGTCAGCAGAGCCGCCACCCAGAAGACATAGTGGGATACGTACCAAGGCAGGTTGTCTGGGTCGGAAAAGGCCACCATGTATTCCTTGAAGTCCACGTTTTTGAGGTGCATCCCCTCCCTGGCCTCCATGTAGTCATCTAGGCCCTCGTTCTCCGTGAAGAAGCGGGCCCGCTGGGTCAGGTAGGAGTTCTCCGATTCCACGTTGGCAAAGCTGAAACACTTCGTGAAGCGGAGCCGCGTGGCCGGGTAGCTCTCCAAGTCAATGAGGTCCTTGGAGATGTCCTTAACTCCACAATTGGAATAGTCGAACTCGGCCTCTGCCACGTGGGTGTTGACCCGCTCGTGATACACTTGGGTGGTGGTGTAGGCGTCCCCGTTGCGGTAGCGGGTAACCTGCCGGGTCCTGCGGACGTAGTGGTAGCTGATGGCCTTCCACCAGATGCAGGGGGTGGCCTGCTGCATCCGCTGCACACGCTCGTGCACGCTCTCCACGTCCACCTTGTACTGCAGCTCGTTGCGGGTGTAGCAGTGCCAGCACTCCACCAGGTACACCACGTAGAGCATCACCAGGAAGGCCAAGGGGATGTAGACGTAGCCGTTGGAACAGGGGCTGTCGTGGTACATCATGGACTTGCCCTTGTAAGCACTGTCAAAGGTCAGACGGGTCACCTTGGTGACGTGGCACCAGGTCATGGCTCCCATGCAGCCGTACATGAGGAGGGACAGCAGCAGGCATTTCCAGTGGGACTCTCGGCACAGGGACTTGCTGAGAGACTGCTTCACTGGCCGCTGCTGCTCCGGGGGAGAGGGAGAAGGGGAGAGAAAACAAGAGAGGAGTCAGTAGGCTGCAGCGGCAGGAGGACAGGGAGCAAGGCAACGCAGTGGCACCTGTAGCTCTGTGAACAGGGACAAAACGGGAGGTGCCGCAGGGCTCCTAGACTCAGAGGGCAGGCCAGAGGCCGGGATCTCTCACAGGATGTCAGTCCCACAGCGTGGGCATCCCACAGCGTGGGCAGCTCTCAGCCCTGCTTCCCCTTCACAGTGCTCTGCCCCGCCTTGGGAGATGTCCAGAGCCCAGATGGACATGGAGGAGAGCAGCAGCAGGCAACCCTGCTGGCCTGCACCCCCAGCAGCCCCCTTCTTCAATGGGGAGTACCCCACACACACTCCACATCCCAGGGAAGGGGTCTGGAAGCACAGCAAGACGGAGGCTGGGGGTACGCCCCCACGTACCTTGGCTTCTGCACCCATCCCACCGGCGCAGGCAGCTCTAACTGAGGGGTCGTCCCACCCAAACACCTCACCACAGCTCACTCCACCGTGCCTCTCACCGCTCACACACGAGTCTCCCCCCGCTTTCCCAGTGGCAACCATTCAGATTTCTCCTACCAGGGCAGCACAGGCAGCCTGGGGTGCCTGTAAGGAGGAGAGACAGACCCTCTGCAGATGGAAAGGCCTGTTTGTTAATGGCAATTCCCATCACAACACTGGGCAGCCCAATGGGCTCTGAAGTGCTGCCCAAGTGCTCTATAAACCACAAAAAGTACTCTTCCACAACTGAAATGCAGCCACTTCTGGTGGGAGAGCAAGCAAATATGGAATAATGTCCTAAAAGGTGCTCAGGCTGTAAGAGAGGAGCATCCCCCCTGCTCTGCAGCAGCAGGAAGAGCAAGCGGCCAGCCACAGCTGCCAGCAAACGTCCCTGCTAGTGTTGGGATGTGGGTGTGACAGCCCACACTTCTGGAAAAAACTGCTCTTGGGTCTTTCATGGTGAGGAAAGGGCAGGACTTCAGCAATGAAGCTTTTAAAAAAGATTGCACTGATTCCTTCACCACAGGAACTGTGCAGGGTTTCGCAAACACTTGGGAAAAAAACCTCACCTAAGAAAAACTCTGTCACTCTCTGCAACACCCTGAAGTCTCAAGTATTGATCCAGCTTGGTCAGTGAGACCTGACAGTATCACACCCAAAGGGAGATCAGGCAAAGAGGTTATCTGCTTTCTTATGGAAAAGGCTTCGTCCAGCACAAATATCATCCAGCCCTGCAATCTCCCAGGGTGCGACCTGAGAGAAGGGAGCCAAGAGCCCCAGCCTTGTGCAGGTGCCATTAAACTCACGAAGTGGCTTTCAGCTTCGCTTTGTCTCCCCAGCTGCTCCTGAGCTCTCCTCCGCCGCTCCAGGGGCTCGCACCAGCTGTAATGACACCTCTCAGGGCAGTGAAGTCCAAGCCCAGCACCATCCCTCCACCATTCCTCAGTGCACCAGGCTGGAGAGGTCTTTCATCCAGGGATCCCAAAAAGCTTAATGGGCTCACGCTGCTAGGAAGCAGGAGGGATCACTTTCACTCTTGCATGAAAAGGAACATTAAAGCAAGAAGCAGAGGCCACAATGTCACTGGCAGGTCTAGGGACAGATCTTGGCCCCTTTTTTCCTCTAACAAATCCCCCTTGCTTTCCCTGAAGAGCTCCTCGTCTTGGTCCCCTAGAATCCCACATGCTACTCTTCCTCCCTACGCCTTGCCAAAGCCTGGTCCACCCCATGCCAGTGGGACTTCTGCCACTGCTATTAGCAGCGCAAATATCTGGCTCAAATTTCCAATGGAGTTTCTCTCCCAGAGGCAGGGAGCTTCCCTTCTCACCCACCCAGCAGCCAGCCTGGGACAGGCAGAGCACATCCACAGGGTTGGCAAGGGGAATGATGGCACATCCCAGTGGGGGTCCTGAGCATCAGCAGCGCTGAGTCCCCCTCTTTGGGGTAACTGGCTGGGAGTGAGAGCTGGCAGCAGAAAGCCCAGGGAAGGCTGGCGGGGTAGCGCTGGTCCGGAGGCAATGGCGAGGGGTGCGAGACAGCTCAGCTCAGCAGCTGCAGCACGGACATACACGCAGCACCCCAGTCTTCCCAGTGCGACCCTCCACCGTGGCAACCTCACGGTCACGGGACAAGAAGGGAAGCCCTGGTCGAAGTGAGGAGAGGACGGGGGCGCGCTCAGCAGGCAGAGATGCCTGAGCTGTGCCCTCCCTGCTTGAGTCTACGCCGCAGTTGCAGGAGCCTGCCCCAATCCCGCTGCCTTTGCTGGGCTGCAGCACAGCTCTCCCGTGCTGACCCGCTGTGCCATGACCCAGCAGAAGAAGGTTTCCTCTCCCACAGCTGTCTTCTGCATTGCAAATCCTCCCTGGGAGCAGCGGCCCTGGCTGAGAGGCTCTAAGGGAACTGCTCGTCCGAAGGAGGAGCACGGGGTGTTTGGGCAGGAAACGCAAGGCTTCTGGGAGAAGGCTTGCACAGAAACAGGGCCTCGTCTGGGGGGGTAGGATCTGCAAATAGAGCACAAGGAATAAAGCAAAGCATTCAGCTCGCTCATTTGACAAGGTGGGGAAGGGGCAGCAGGGAGGCAGGTCTTGGGCCAGGTCTGTCCCGAATCCCACCTCCCAGTTGCTCCCTGGCCCCTCACATCCCGCATTGCCTGCGTCACCCTGCTCGGGAGAAGGGTGACGCTGGACGTCGCCTGCAGAGACGCCGGCAAGCCCCGCTGTGGTTACCCACCCGGGCAGGGCAGCAGAGAGTGAGATGCAGCCCAGGCTTGGTTCCAGGAACTGTGTTAGCAGGGCTCTAGTCCACGCATTAGTCTCCTCCTAGGACTACGCAGCATTCAGATACTGCAGCGCTTTTACAGGGTCACGCTAACCCCTGCTGTAAACTGTTTACAACCCAGTTCTGTCCTCGGCTTTGGAGGGAAAACACATACACATCGGCCGTGCTGGTGGGGTTTTCTGAAAGCTGATCAAGTGCCAGTGACAGGGGATACAACCACAGCAGAGAGGGAGGAGGAGCCAGCTGCAGAGTCTAATCCCAGTAGGAACTGCAGCATCCCTGCTCCTCTCCCGGGCTGCAAAGGGTTCACAGGAGCAAACAACCGGCTCCGCAGCTTGCCCCCGCAGAAGCGGCCAAATAAGGTTGCCTTCTCGAGCCCTTAACTAGCCTTGGAGAAGTCCAGCACGCCACAGATGCCGATGAGACAGGTGGGGAAAGGGAAATCCTTTCTGTCCCAGAGCAGTGTCACTGGGAGGAGAGCAGGCTCTGATATAAACGCCGTCGTCATCTGCCCGCTGCAGTCTGATGGAAGGAAGCGAATGGCTTGCCCTACTTCACTGCAAACAGGGCTTCCCTCCATCACTGGGAGCCTCCCACAGCGCTCAGACTTAAGCACTGGAGTGGTGAGCAAATCCGCTATTGCAGGTGCACCTGAGCGCCTCTGCAGTGCTAGAGGGCAGGACTGGTCCAGCCACGGCTTGGCCAACCCATTTGTGGGACCCCAGTCAACCACCTTCCCTGTGCTTCAGTTCACCAGGTAGAACACGTGGGACAACCCTTACCAGGTGCCTGGGTGCTAACTCTAACACACGCTGGGAAGGGCAAGGGGCAGAGTGCTGCTACAGCCTCCCCTCCCTCATACCTAGCGTTTGCCTCTGACCTTGACCCTGCGGTGAAAGGAGATGGAGTTCCACACCTGCAGCTGCTGCTCTGGAATGGACAGGAAGGGATGGAGGGGATCACTTACGAGCCACCATGAAGCAAATGGAGATGCCTGCAACGCACGGGGCGGGGGCAGTAGAAGAGAGGGCCCCCAACACTGCTTGCACTAAACTCCTTTGAGACCTGGGGAATCCTCTTCTCAAAAAAGCCTCAAGGGGATAAACCTGTCCAGAACCCCAGTGGCGAAGCACATGGGCCAAAATACCTTCATTGCCCCTACAACCCTGACCCTGCAACTCTGAACGCTAAACAACTCCAGAAATCCTTCAAGCTCTATAAAGCTCCACTCTTAAACAGCCTATCCCTGGCCCCATCTACCACCCCTCCATTTAAAAAGTGTTCCCATGTCCTCACCTTCTGCACCTCTCACCCGCTTCTCCCCACAGAGACCAGTCTGAAACCTCCATTTGACCCCCAGAACGCTAAGCCCTCACTTTACAAGATGCCCCGGGGTTCACAGGGTTAGGTGTCCTAGAGACAGCCCTCTACGGGGCTGAAAAACTGAACTGAAAGCCCCATGCAGCAGCCTGAGGGCCCAGGTAGGTCCCGAGTGCCAGGCTGTGGCAGCAACTTGCCGGGGGGTCCAGCGGGGCTCCCGAGCACCAGCCTCCATGGCTCTGCCCC